ATGCAGCCAGAAAAAAAGCCCTAAGCAATTTTAATATAGTTTTAGGTGTGACTTGAATGAATGTATAGAATTAATTTAAAACTATCAGTAGCAAAGAGTTGTTGATTAATGGAAAGGAGTGGGGGAAAAAACCTCTGTACTAATCTTGGATAAGTGCTGACCCGTCAAATAAATTTCCTAGTGTAACAGAGACAATGACAATAATTTAAGGAATATCAAAATCACAGTTAGCTGCAGAGATGAAAGATCTGAAAAAAATAATCTGGTTTGACTCCAACAAAAGTTTGTTCTAATAATCTATAGCTTTGTGTGGGTTTTTTTTCCTTCCCTTAATATTTGTTTTAAAAAACTACCTTTTTTCCTCAAATTTAAGACCTCATTTAGAAATTTTTCAGCCAGGATAATTTAATCATTCCAAATGTTATTTCACAAACGTTTTTAAACAAGTGGCCATCAAAGCTGACCGCTGCACAAAGAAATCAGTGTCACTCAGCCAGTCTGCTTCTGGCAAGGAAAAATAAAGGTTAATTCAAAAAGTTCCAGCTGTCCCAGAACCCCAGAGAGGAATGGCTTTTTACTGTAACCCAAACAGTTTTCAGCAAAGCCATTTTCAGTTTTGTCAGTAAATTGGTTTGGGATTTTACCCCATCCAGCTCCGAGTGTCTGCGAGCTGGCCTTGGCAGCGAGGAGGGGCCGCCTCCGCAGGGATGGGCTCCTGCTGCTGCCGTGCTGAGGCAGCAGCCCCGGCTTTAAGCTTCTTTTTTAGTGTTTTGGTTAATCAGGAGCACGCTGAAAAACACCAATCATCAGTCTCAGTGTGATAATGAAAATGATCTTGCATATGGGTGTTTGTGGCGTCAGTGCCTCCTTTCATTATCAATTAGACAAACCACATTAGAGGACACGTTCATTCGCCTCAGTCTTTCTCCAGCAAATGCCACATACAGGTGACTCTCACTGCTGCTGCTGCAGCAGAAATAACTTAAAATATGTAACAAATGCCCCATAGATGGGGTAATGCAGCCCAAGGAAAACTGCATGTGGGACTCATGTAGAAAGTGGGGGGTGCGTGTACTGCAGGGATCAAATGGGCTGGTCCATGCCAAGCACAACTGCAGGCTCTGTTCAAAGTGGAAGGCTCCAGCAAAGACCCTTCAGCCTTTTCCTGGGCCATGCCTCAGCAGAGAAAAATCAACTGATCCTTGTTTGGATGACTCATGCACTCAACTAATTGGCTAAATGGGGCCCAGACCTCTGGTTCCCTCCTGCCCTCATATCTTGCTGAGCTGGGACCAAACCCAGACAACCACAGCCCATTCCATAGGGCTTTGTCTCCTCCAGCTCCACACAGATGTTTAATACTCCAGCTGCTCATGCAAAAGACAGTGTTTTCCCCCGTTCCAGAACTTGCCTTCAAAAGCTCAGCACATCCAATCCAAATGAATGATAGCTCTTGGGCCCTGGCAGTGTTGTGGGTGAGAGAGATGAGCACAAAGACAGTGTGGTCCCCTGAGCCCTCAGCTTCAGGCATCTCACAGGCTTTTCCCTCCAGACCAAAGTCGCTCTACCTTGCTCTGTATTTCCTAGATACAGGCAAACAGTAGTAAAACAGTTCTCCCTGACTCCCATTTCATATTTGGGATTTGGTTTATTTTGAGAGCGAAGGAATGGGGAAATGACTTTCAAGGCATCTTAATGCAATTTTATTCCTGCTCCCAAATAAGTATAATACAAAAAATTAAATCAGCCTTCAATGTGATATGGATGGCCCCAGGATACAGCTGAGGTGATGTCAGTCTACAAAACATAACATTATGTGTCATTGTTTCATGTCATTACTTATTGATTTAATTCCATCATATTTCAGACAACTTTTATTGTCTAGGTACAAATCATCATATTAATAACTGGAAGCACATATGCAGATATCAAAAACACCTTCTGCCACTAAACCAATTTTTAAAATGAATCCAAGAGAAGCATTTTAAGAGAAAACTCCTCCAGAAGCAGTTTTTCCAGGGACAAGAAAGACCGGGCAACTGTTTTTCTGGTTTCAATGTAACATACATTCTTATTCCATACTGAGATTCCTTTTTCACTTTTTTGGTCTTTTTTTCTTTTGTTTTTATTTCTTTACAGGAAAGATTGATGGGAAAAGGGGGAGTTCCATCAGTTTTGAAAACAAGGTGTAGTTAAATATTCTATCTAAACATATTCCCTTGAATGTGCATTATCATATGCTCACTGGGGAACATTTTGGATTATGAACTGAATAAAGTGTATATTATAAAATGGCCATCTTAGCATTAAATTTTACAATATCGATGTGTCATAATAAAATAGAAAACTATTATTATTATTATTAAAAACAAAAATACACTGCAATAAACTCTAAACTATTTTGTACACAGCAGTGTGTCCTGAAGGAGTTTAAATTTGTAGACAAAGTTGGATGCGTGTTAAATAAGAAGCTTAATCAGAATCAAAAAATCTGACTGTAGTATGGTACAGAATTCAAACAAAAAACTTCCCTGAAATTTATGTTGGAAAAAAATACAAATTATTTTTTTTGGTACTTTTCTGGCAGTAATCAACATCTTTTAAAGATATTTCCAAGAATGCATGTTCTCCCAGTTTCATGTTTCCCTGTGTTTTATCCTTTTTTTTCCTTTTTCTGCCTTCTTTTCTCTCCATTGCTGCAGATGTTTCTCTGTGTTCTTGTACACATTGGACTGCAGAATGGGAAAATCGCACAGCACCATAAATTCTCAGCCCAGTCCTATGATAGCAGATTTTGGATGAAGCAGGCTATTCATATGCTCCCTTAACAAGCTCCCCAACAACACTGCACCCAGAGGACCCAGCCTCCCGGAGCACTGGCACCCACCAGGTCTCAAAGGCTTGGGCTCTTTTGTTGCACATGTCCCACAGGCAGCCTGGACCCCCAGTGCTCGTGGCTGCCTGCCCTTTTCAGTCATATCCTCCAACATCCTTTACTCAGTAATTCCCAGTGCTGGAAGGAAACACCAGGCTGAAGCCAGCCATAGGGCTGGGAGTCTCCCCCAAGGAAGCTGATACGAGTTTTCCCACTGGTTTGATTTTCCTCTGAGAAAGGCTTGCCAAGCTGGGGACAATGTCCCAGCAAGGGACTGCAGCAAGGCTGAGTACAAATGGAAAACAGTGTCCCCCGAATAATCCCCTGCGAGACTGACTCTAAAATGTACTCTTGTACTTTTCTTTATATTCAAATTCCCCTTTCCGTGTTCAGTTTCAGACACGAATATCTGTAGATCTGCCTCAGCCCAGGTGAGACCTCATTCCAAGGTCTTATTCAATAAATTATTCCACATGAATTTAAGGCTAAGCCCCTGCATTGTCCCTGCCACCTCCAGTAAGACCCCCAGAAAGGCTTCAATTTAAGCAAATGCTAAATGCACTGCTGGGTTGAGCCTGAAAATATTTATAGGACCAGGGATTAAAACACAGCATATTACATCTGGAGCTTCCAAAGCCAAGTGGACCTGAGCAAAGTCAAATGGAAATATTAACTCTATTTTCATTTTAAAAAAAAAACAGCACAGGCTTCAGCAATAGTTGTGATATGCTGTCTCCTCTTGGGGAACTAATAGACAGGGAACAGCAAGGCTTTAAATGATTTATTCAGTACCCTGGAGATTTTTTTATTTTCTTTTTCATTTCCACATAAATTACACAAGCACTTTATAAAATGAATACACATAAAACACCTTGTAAGTGCATAACTTAAAAAAAAGAAAAAGAAAACAACAAGAAAAAACAAACAAACAAATACCTTTAAAAATCTCACTGAAAATAGGTTTTCTGGTTGTTTGTACTAACTGCTTAAATTGGCAGTGCTGTTTTAGATTATAAGTAACTGGAAAATATATACTGTTTATATATATATATCTATATATTCCTGGCATTTGCTAGAAGTGCTTTGTTTAATTGTGTCTCATCTCTCAGTACAATTAAAAGAACAACTAACTTAAACAGCTGAGAGTGAAATCGATTTTTTGCTGTCAGGAACTGCCTTCTAATGGGAAACTGATAAAATAAAACATTGGACAACATTTTGCAAATTATATGGAAATATTCCATGGAAAGAAACTGCATTACCCCCACAAACTGCCACCTAGGTCTTCTTGTTATTAAAATACTCGCTGATGGGCACAGAGTCCATGGCAGCCAGGGACTGTTTGGGCCCTTCATACAATTGAGATATCATATTTACCGTCCTCAGGAGTCTGTCAGATCCTTCTCTTGTTCCCCCTTCACAAGAAAAAATTAATGAAAAAGGGGAGGAGAGACAGCGAGGTGAGATCTGAAGGGTTCCCATCTGGCACAAGCAGAAATTGCTGCTGTTTCCTCCATTTGTTGCATCCCTGAACATCTCCGATGCGGACAACCCAAGAAGGCTCACAGCAGAGACGTGCTTCCCAGGGAGCCTCCTCCTTTTTTTCCAAGCCATCAGTTCAAAACATATATATATATGCATATATATATATAGGTGTATTTATATATATATGCATATATATTTATATATGGATATATAAGAGTGTACACAGACTTTGCACTGCCGCCAGTAGAATCGTAAGGAAGTTTTCCTCTCCCCCAGCTGGATGAACACCAGCGGCTGTGTCTGTCAGAGCTGGGTTTTTGTCTGGCAGCGCGTCAGCAAGTTCAGGGTCGACACTGGAGACTTTCAAGAGAACAAAGAGGTTGGGGGGAGGTGAGACAGCATTGCTGCTCCAGCAACTCCATGGCTGCGGAGAGTTTTTGGGGTGGCTTTCCTTCTTATTGTTCCTTGTGGAGGGTTTCCCCAGCTGGATACATAGAATGCAGGCGGCCAGAGGATCAGGGGGTTCCAGCCCTCCTCGGGGAGAAACAAAGTTGCTACATGTCCCACCAAGGATGCCTCGTGTCCCCCTGGGGACAGCCTTGCCAGTAGATGGTGTAGGTGCCACCAGTGGGTGCCAGACTTATTCACAAGCAGAGGCGACAGTTGTGACACTGGTGATCTTGGTGGAGTCATCAGACCAAGGCTGGAGATTCTGGAGGGCGAAGAGAGAGGAGTTGTGGACACAGATTGGGTCGGCTTGGATGGGCTGGTTGATGGTTTTTTGGAAGGCTTCCTGCTGCAGTTGCATGAGGATGCGGTTTGCTTGCTGCCGCTCAGCCTCCCGCTCCTCCGCTGTTTGCCTCCTAGGAGAGAGGGAGCCATTAGGGGGGCTGGGGGAAGCACAGGAAGGGTACATCCAGAGAGATTGAGTTGTGCTGGGTGCTCATAATGTGGGAGGGCAGGGGTAGGAAAAGAGGGTGCCTTGCCATGGCATAGTCCCACATCCCCTACACAAATGGCCAGTAAATCCCATAATCTGGTAACTGGGTCTGTCTGTCTTACAGGCCTCGGTAAAAACTGCTCTGATCAAAGACAGCTGGGAGCAGCCCACAGCTCTGGATTACTCTCTGCCCACAGGAAAAAAAAGAAACAAGCAGAGACAAAACACCCAAAGTGTCACACAACAGCATTGCAAAAGCTGAGATCCCCTGAAAACATGCTCTGGTCTGACAGCAAGAGCCGAGCATGCAAAGCCTGAAGGAAGAGGCATGGAGCAGGATGGGGTGAGACAGTGACTGGCAGTGTCACACAGCTGAGAGATGGGCAGTGTCACCCTCGACATCCCCTTCCAGCATCCACGTTTGCCATCTTGTCTGCCACACTGCAGTGATCAGCTGTTGAGAGCTTGGATGAAGGCAAAAACATTCCCATGGCAGGCAGCAAAATTTCAGCTAAACACTAGAAACACATTTTTTAGCAGTAAGAAAAATCAAAGTACAGATTATACTATCTGGAAAGGGTGAATGACAATGTTTTTCAGAACGGTTTGGACATATATCTGACTGGTATGACACCAGCAGAGGTGATCCCCAAGGAGAGGGTGCTAGTGGGTCAGAAGGGGTTCTTTCCAGTGTTGGTTGGGCCCTGGCTCTGGGCTGCCTGGGAGCAGATAATGGGATAGCCTGAATCCTCTTATATCCACAATGGAAACGCCACTCCTGCTTGCTTGGATAGCAGGTCAGTCTAAAGTCAGCAGCTTGCGCTCACCTCTACTTCATCTGGCACTTGTATTGATGCTGCTGGGAAAACCTAGGAGCAACTCCCAGTGCTGGTCCCAGCGTGATTCCCAAAGCATCCTCTCCCTCCCTCAGACCCCCAGGCTCAGCTGACATACTCTCAGCAGCTTCAGTGGACCACAGACACAGGAAATGGCAGCTTTTTAATTTGGCAGCTCAGGGGGATGTGAGATGTCTCATCCTCTTTGGCCATGGGAATTGGAAGTGGCAGCTCTGATCTCCACAGTGACATCTCGGAGCACAGGACAGAGGGTCCCTGGCTCCCAGTGTGGAAGCAGGGTGAGGCTTGGAGGCTAGCAATGGGCCTCTGGGCACCCAAGCCTCTGGACATGCAGCCAGTGTTCCCTCCTGGGAGCAGGTAGTTCAGGGCTCAGTCCCTGCTCTAATCACTGTGTCATCATCTCACATAAGACATCCCGGGAAGAGCAGGCTCAGAGCTGCACCAGCCTGGGGAGTAGCCCAGTCCCTGCCTCAATGAATATTTAATGACTCCCTGCACAATGAGGAGATGCTCCAGGAGGAGGGAGGGAGCTCCAAGTCCAGGATGATCAGGAGCACCATGGCTGTGAGAACTTTGCTCTCAAGTATCTCCCTGCTGCAAGCAGCTGGTCTAGTCATGGTTTCACACCTGCCTGGAAAGAGCTGTGTCTAAAACAAGAACCCAGATCTGAGGAGGGGATCACACAGCCACCTCACTCCAGTGGAGACAACCAGGCAAGGGGCAGGGGCAAGACTCTTCCCCCCAATCTGTGTTCAAGCAGTCAAATTGCTCAGAAGGCTCATAACAACTCTCTTTTCTTGCATACTTCCCACTGCCTTATTCAGGCCAAGTCTGCATCAGCTCCTTCCAGCTCCCAGTGCTCCAGGAACCACTCAGAGTCCACTGCCCAGTGCAGGGGCTTGAGGCAGCAAGATGGGTGTGCTGCCAGCCAGGAGTATGCACATATCCATCGCAACACCCAGCAGGCACAGACGCATACAAGCAGAACTTACAAGCCTGTGTCCCTCTGGCTCAGGCCAGAGATTCTCCCATGTCTAATATTACAGCTGAGGTCTGGCTGCAGCCTTTCCCTTAGGCAGAAGCAGGATTTTGTTTCTCTTTACCCAGCTATTTTTTGTAAAACACGTGAATAGGTTTGTATCCTCTGCACCTCTGCCAAAAGAGGCTGAATTTAGCCAACAGACGCAAAGAGTATTGACAGATGGATTTGCTTCACTTCCTTAGGAAACCTGGTTAGAAGACACAGCTGACCCCGTTTTGCAGGCCACAGCAGGACTGTTCCTCCCCCAGGATTCTGTTTCTGGCCAACAGAGATCACTCCAGCTAGAGACTTCCTAACAGTTGGAGAATTGCACTACTATGAATTCTCTAGGGGAGAACTCACTGGGGTTGAGGATTCACACACCCCCTTGGTTTCAAGTTCCTTAACTCCCATTTCTTACCCAACTTCAGTATATTCAGGCAATCTCTGTCCTATTAAACCTTGGGATGACTCTGGGGAAGCCCTTTCCTCCCATTTTAAAGCTGCCTGTCTGCCTGCTCGCCCTCCAACCCCCAGTGCTCGGCACCCAGCAGCTCGGTACCCATCTTCTCTGCTCTGTGAGGGAGCTCCCCCTTGCCCATCACTTTCCACCCCCGCGGGAGGCCGGTCCCCAGCCCAAGGGTAGAGGATGTTCTCAGGGCTGGGGCGCTTCCCTCGGTGCAGCTTAGGAGGGGCAGGGTCACTGCGATGGAGCCCTGGAGGCTCCGTGAGAGCCCAGCTTTCTCTTCCTCTCCGGCTTCACCGACACCCCCGGCAGCAGAACAAAAAGAAACCTTTTGGGCAAGGAGGAGCCGCGAACCCCGCGGGGACAGAAATCTCCGCTTTGTGCAGAGCCGGGTACTCCGACAGCGCCGGCCGAGGGCTCCCACACACTGCTGCGAACTGCGGGAGCCTCCGCACCCTCTGCTGACACTGACTGCACACGCGTGTGGATACACACATCCACCCGCGTGGATTATACCCGCACACGTTTCTGCACGCAGGTCCGGTGTGCACACACCATGGAATGCACGCACATGGCCCGCGCCACAGCACACTCGCGGGGCTGTGTTTTGCGCTCACACAAACACACACACGAACACACTCGCACACACACACACACACACACACAAACACAAACACACTGCCTGCGGGCACACTTCACACTCACCGTGCAGTTCCACACGCGTGCCCTGCTTGCACACACACCCGCAGGTGTGCACACACACAAGCACACAGAACTGGCCACGCACACGGTCATGTTCACACACACACGGGGCTTGCACACCTCTTCGCTGCCATCAATGCTCCTGGCAGAGCTGCTGGCGGCCAGTTCTGTCCCCACCCCAGTCCGCCGAGATCCCCGGTCCCTCACCTCCACTTGGTGCGCCGGTTCTGGAACCAGGTCTTCACCTGGGCGTCCGTCATTTTGAGGGCCTTGGCCAGGGCAGCGCGCTCGGCCGAGGCCAGGTATTTCTGCCGATGGAAGCGCTTCTCCAGCTCGCAAATCTGCAGGCGGGTGAAGGAGGTGCGCGGCTTCTTCTTCTTGGGGGGCGTGCGGTTCTGGTAGGGGTGACCTATACGGCGTGTTACAGTGAAGGGTGAGAGGGCCACTGGGGGGGACACGGGAGGAGGGGGGATGAGAGGCAAAGAAGCAAGCAGCGACACATCAGCAGAGGGGCTCCGGCTCGCGGCCGCTGGACTGGGGACCATCCCCCCACCGCTCCGAAGCCGCGGCTTCCCCGCCGACACCCACGCACGAGCTGCCAAAACTCGGCGGCGGCATCGCGGACCGGCAAGGCCCGGCGGCCTCTCCTGGGCGCTGCGGGCACCCGCCGGGCACCGCTCCATTCTGGCAGAGGGGAAGGTGACCCCTTGCCCGGCCAAGTGCCTGCCGGGGAATGGGGGGGTCAGCAGTGGCAGCCGATCCTGGTGCCGGGCCGGGGCTCCGCGCTCCGTGCCAAGTGGGATCGGGATAATTTCGTTTAGGCGCGGCGGTAACCCCATCGGCCCCGGCCCCAGTGCCTCCTACACGGGAAGTAAAGTCCCGGACTGGAAACCGGAGTTGCGATTTGTTGTTCTGTTTGTTTGGATTTTTTTGTTTTGTTTTAAATATATATGGTTTTGTTTGGGTTTTGTTTTTTTTCCAGCCCCACAAAAAAATAATTAGTGAAAAGTCACATTGTGTCTAAGCCAGGAACAAATTGAGCGAAATCCAGTCAGGTGCTTGCCAGGGGAACAGCCCCGGTCGTCCACCCTCGGCCGTTCCCGAACCCAGCACCATCGGTCCGAAATTAAATGGGAACTTTCAAATATCGGGCCTCGGTTTCCGCCCTCGGGAAGAGGCGCTGATTTTTTCCCCGTCGTAATTTCGTTCATTTTGTTTGTTTGTTTGCGTCTTTTTTATTTATTTCTTTTCGTTGTTCGAGTTTTTGCTTTGTTAGTGCCGAAAGACGAGCCCGGCTACACCTGGAAACGGTGGCGAGGCCGGGAAGCGGCTCTAGCCCGGCCCCCGCTCTGCTCGGGTCTGCAAAAAGTCCCTTTTGGTGGGGAAAAAGGCTGAGCCTAAACCCGCAGCCGGGGAAAGACAGCCCGGTTAAGGACGGCAACGGGACGGCCTTCCCGGGCAGGCCAGGGCCGGGGCCGCCTGTTTGCCTTCCCGCCGGCCGGGCCGTGCTTCCCAAATAACTCTCGGTTTTGAAAGAAAGTTTCCCCGGGTGTTGGCTCGGGCGGCAGGGATTGGGCAGCCGTGCCGGGGGCTGGAAGGAGGTCGTGTACGGAGTTTACCATCCCTTTTCCTCCTTGCCCGCCTTTGCCGACCCGTATCGCGGGGAAAAATATTATGTAAAAACCTACAGCAAACTAGTTATAAATAACTTAAAAGGAACGAAAACAACAACAAATAAATCCTCCACATATACAATCAAAACAACCAAAATATCAAAACAAACAAACAAAAGGAAACATAACTCATTTAGGGGAGGACTGAATATGCCTCATTTCCCACCCCGTCTTGCTTCTGGCCTCCTCCCGAACCAGCTTCCCAGGACCATCCCGGCTGCTTTCTCCATCTGACCGGAGAGATCTCCGGCTGGATCCTGCCTGCCTCTGTGGGCACCGGCTGCTGCGCAGAGGCCGGGCGGCGGGGAAGGAAGCGGGGCAGCGGGAGCAGAGAGAGAAGGGGGGTCCCGGTGAGGCAACTTACCTGTGAACCTGTCTTTTGTGTACCGCCTGTTGCTCTCCATCCAGGGGAAGGTGAGCCCTGTGAGGCTGTTCATGCCGTTTACTGCCGGCACGGCGGCGGAGAGGGGCTGGTGGACGCCGCCGGCCACGGGACGATGGGCCGGGACGCGGATCACCCCGCCGGCCGAGCTCAAGGTGTTGCCGTTCATGCTCACCGCCATGTTCACGTTGTAGGAGCCGGGCAGGCCGCCCATGCTGCAGGAGGTGCCGGTGTAGGCTCCGGCCGCGCCGCCGCTCGCCCCGTAGCCACCCGTGACCGTGTTATAGGCGCTGCCCACGATGCAGCCCAGCCCGTAGTCCGCCGAGTCCTGCAGCCGCGGGTGCGACACCATGCAGCTGCCCGGCTCCGACGTGTTGAGGATCTGGTCGATGCCGAAGCTGATGGGCTCGGCTTGCCCTTGGTGCAGGTGGTGAGCCCCGAGGTGCTCCATGCCGCCGCTCGGGCAGCGGGGCCGGACCCGCGCCCCGGGCAGGGCAGCACAGCCCCGCACCGCCCCGAAACCGGCAACGGGGCCGAGCACAGCCGGGGCGCGCCGGCTACGCGCTCAGTCCCATAGCACGACGGCAGAGCACCCCGAGAAACGCCAGCAGAGCCACGCAAGGCCGGGACACGGCAGCCACACGCTCAGCACGAAGACACACCAGCACAGCCATGCGCAGCCCAGGTACAAGAGTGAAACACCCCCGCCGCCCGGGATGCGACAGCCGTGCCCAGCGCGGCACAGGACACAGCCACGGGAGCCACAGCAGAGCCAAACACACCCAGCAGCTCCCGGGAGCGGAGACGCGACACCCCAGCCACGCACACTGGTCCCGCTCCGATGAGACCCAGCACCCCCAGGTACCAAGACGCTTCAGGAGCCTCTCACCCAGGACGCACAGACCTAGGCAAGGACACACGCACACACACAAGGGTGCCCCGGGGACCCCTCGCCGCGGCGGGCGGTGGGGAGCCGGGAACCCCGCGGAGCTCGGCGGATTGTGAGTGCGATCGCCCGCCGAGCTCCGCTTGCCCATCAATCACCCTACCCAGGGCCTACTGCTGCAGGCCCTCACTCTCCATTGGTTGGATGCTGAGAGCAGCCCAGTGAATGACAGCAGAGAAGAGCACACAAGAGGAGTTTCTTCTTCCCCAGCCCCCTCTCGCACCCCCACCCCACCGCGAAAAAAAAATCACCTCCAGTCTCGGCGTTATAAAGTGAGCGCTGGGTGAGCGCAGGGCACCGGGGGGTGAAATAGTGGCTGATAGCGAGCGGCAGAGCGGGTATGTTTGGTCTCGGAGTTCGTGGCGGCAGGCTGCTGGGAAGGGGGATCTTGGCTGCCAGGCCCCGCCGGAGAATCAAGCCTAGGCTGCGATTCCAAAGAGCTGCCGCTGACCCCCAGCGAGGGCTGAAGCCGGAGGATCCCCCTCTGGTGGGCTCCCAGCCCCGCCGTGCCCCTTTGTCCCGGAAGGGTGTTCTCAATTTCCAAAGTCAGCACCCTTCAAAAAGCCAGGGGGAAGCTGCTCTCCGACCCCACAGCAGAGACACGGGGACGTTGAGAAGGGCACCCCACAAGTGCCCGGATCCGTGGAAGCAGTGTGATGGGAGGAGGCGAGGGGCTCCTGAAGCACACCTCCCTCCAGAGAACCGGGGGGGGGCTCACTCCCCCGGGACGATGGCAGGCCCCAGCTGCACCCCACGGGGCAGCGGACACCGCTGACCGGGCACCGCCGCTGCTGGCCCGGCCGTCTGCTGCCGCGGTCCCCTCCTGCCCGAGGGGAGATGAGTGTTTTCGTTTAAAACTACAAAATAAAAAATTAAAACTACAAAATAATTTTAAAACTTTCAAACAACATGAAAATGAAAGCCACTACTGCGATTTCTGTAAAACTTGTAATGGTCCTGGCCCGTCGGTGCCTGCTCCGCACAGCCAGGCCGGAGGCAGAGCCGCCGATGGCACCGGGCACTGCCGTCTCCTTGAATCCGGCGTCCCACGGCTGCCGACCGGCGCTGCCCAGCGCTCCCGGCAGAGACGTCAGGGTTTGGCCCGGTCGTTTGTGCTCTGCCTGTCTCATCTCTCCCACTACGGGCTGGGACCGGCCCTCCAGGCTCCCTCCTCCCTACGTGGGGCAAAGGCTGCCCTTCACATCTTCAGCCTGCCTGTGGATTTGTGTCCAAAGGGGACCGTGGGGACCCCGCAGAACAGCCTGTTCTGGGGTATCCCCCACATAAAACAAATGGTGCTGGCATGGAAAGTCACGTCTGTGCACTCAGGTACACCACTCATCACCAGCTTTATCATCCCATCCTCTTCCTCACTCTCCGTATGTTGTACACAGGCTCACAAAGACCCTCACGGGCTCACAGAAACCCATGCTGACAGTCTCACACATTGTCTTGCACACACACCTACATTTGTGCGCTCATTCAAACATCCCCACACACTCACAGACTGTCACAATCCCCTGCACACACACGTTCTCGTTCACACCTTCACAACTATGTATTCACACCCACAGTCACTCCCACAACAGGCGGTAACACACCCCAGCTCCCGTGCGCTCAGACACCCCCAGACACTCACACTGACCCAGCAGTGCTTGTGGGTTCCTGTCACCCTCATCCAAGCCACAACTCTGCTGTGGTTCCCCAAGACCCGTCACTATCACCACACCCACCACCACAGCCCCACACGGGAAGGCTGTGGAGACAGCGGGTGGCAGCAGCAGCCCACAGCCGCCCCTCGGCCCCATGCCCGGCTGCTGCCCAGCCAGCTTGCCCCCACCACCACCCAGCCCTGCCTACCCGCTGGGGTCGGGTTTCCCCCCCTCCCAGTACCTGCCTCAGTTCTTGACTTCTGAACTCTTCAGGGAACTCGCTGGCGCCAGCTCCATCAACCAAAGTCCTTGTGGTTAGGAGGAGCTGGGAGAGGAGGGAGGGAGTGAGGGCTGGGGCCAGCCGGGGCCGGGAGGCTGCCCTCGGGCAGGGGGCCTTCTTGTCCCACAGGACTGCAGCTGCCTTTCCCCTTCTTCAGGATATGCCTGGGCTTCTTAGCCTGCCCCTTGTCACACAGGAGATGTGGGGCAGAGCCTGCTCACCTGCCCTGAGTGTGTCAGGTTGTCTCCACAGGGAAGCAATAAAGCATGGCATGCCAGTCCTGCACAGTCCCCTGCCAGTAAGCTGTGACATCCAGAGGGACTCAGATCTGCTGCCAAATCCTGAGACTCCGGAGATGTACCCCCCTCCAGTAAATAACACAGCTGCCTGATGCCGCTTGCACATCCCAAAGGCCCCATTTGATGCCAGGAAAAGCCTTGGCCTCCCCTGTGCCAGGGATCCCCCAGGCTGAGCAGATGCCAAAGGCCCCAGAGGGACTGGCCTCGAGAAATCACAAGGTCAACACCAGTGATCCAGTCTGGTTAGTGAGGGTCACAGCCCCCAGCTGCTGAACCCAAGGTAGAGGCTTCGGGGCAATAAAACTTGCCAGGAGACAGATTACAGGTGAGTCCGAATTCCGTCTGTCCAGCACCCAGTGAGGACAAAGGAGAAGAGCAGGCAGAGCTAGGTCCTGACAGGGATTGAAAATTTCTGGAAATCAATGGGAATTATTAATGAGTCTGGGGGATGATGCACAATCCCAAGATTTATTCTCTGCATAAGCCAGACTTCACTTGCATCCTTAAGAAAACCACACATCTGCTGGCATTGGAAGTTTGGGCACTGCACATTGAAGCTCCAGGACAACACCCAGTTCAGATATTCCAGTTCAAATTGCTCCTGGCCTCACTTTCCCCTTAGGCTCTCCAGGGCTGTGCCTTGAGGACTACTGTAGAGCACAAGGCTCTGGAAATGTCAATTAATATATGTTTTTTGCCTCCCTAACTCTGAGGCTAAAGAGGCAGTGCTGCAAGCTCACATGCTAAGACATGTCAGGGTCAGTTTTGGTGCTTTCAGGTTTGCATCCCAACAGGAGAGTCTACAAGGACCAGCACCCACTTTGAGGTGCATTCAATGATCCTACAAATGGATCCTTGGGCTGGGGGCCAGAGGCACCCCAGCCCAGCTGTCTCTGCCTGGATCCTCAGTCAGTATGCTTCCATTTGTTGAGGGCTGGATTTGTCACTCTTTGCTAGGACTCTAAATGCCAGGCCCTGCAAAAAATAATCCAGATATCACACTCAAGGCAGCCTTGAGTCGATGGAGACAGACATTACCAAATGTTTGCCCAAACTAATGCTTTAGTTCTTAGCTTTTCTGTACAGAGAAATCCTATTTTATGGGAAACACCAATAAGGTGGGTCAGGCCTCCTTGGAGGCAGACAAAAGCCTCCACTGCAAGAGTTGACACGTGCACAAAGTTGTTGCAAAATCCATACATCAAGGAAGCCCAGTGTCCTTGGTCTCCACTTCTCCAGAGCATCTCACCTCCTTCAAATATCCACAACCACTATACATATTCCTGCAAGCCTTGAAACTTTTGTCCCCCTTCACCTGCCCCAAACAGCTGCTGGGACAAGTTCATTTCCAAAATGGTGTTTAAATCCTGCCCCAAATGAGGGTTGAGGGCCCGGTATATCCATGCCAGGAAATGACAATTTAGATGAGGGCTCTTACTGATGCACAAGGCTCTCCCTCCCCACGAAGTGCCCAGGGATCCTTTCTCAGGTTCTCTCATTGATCGTGTGCATCTGCCTCCTGCTAGCAGAGAGGAGCAGCCCAGCCAGGGCCTGACCTCCACCCTCCACTCCCCTTTTCTTCTGCCTTGCTGGCTTCCCGGGGTCCTCTTGGCCCCTGAGCTCCTTTGCAGCTCGGGGCTCCCGGGAGTTTGGCATCACAAGCTGCCTCTCTGCCTCGCAGCTGCTGGCCGGGACACCGCTGCGAAATACAAGCCCTCCTGAGGGGACCGGGGACAAAAGTGGTGTGTCTGGGACCTTGGCAAGATCCCAGCAAAGCCCGTCGGGCTCGGTCCGAAAACTGCCCTTCGAGTAGTGCTTTCCGGAACCTATAAAGCCCTCTATATTGCTGAAAGGAGAGTGAGCGACTCTGCCACGGGCAGGTGCGTGGCGACAGACACCCCTCAGCAGAAGGGTGCGCCCCGACTCCTTCCCTCCCTCGTTTCGTTCCGCCGGGGCCTCCCCCAGCTCGGGTATTATCCATCTTTCTGCGCGTCCATCACTTCCCACAGCTCTTTCTCTCCCGTCGCGGCCCCTGTGAAATCCATTACGGCGAGGGCGCCGGTGCGGGTTGGGGCAGCGCACGGGGGCTGCCGAGAGAGCTCCGGGGCCAAGACTGCCCCGTCGGGCGTCCCTCGCCCCTCCCTGGACCGGGAGCCGCGGTCTCTGCTGCCGTCGGGGGTCTATCCCTCAGCACTGCCACCCGCACTAAGTTATGCCGCAAATGTCGCGACAGACGCCGACAGCGAAGCGGAAGGACCCCCGCACCAAGCAGCC